ACGCGCCAGTAGATGGTGGACCTCTGGGGAAGGCACCAGTTGGTCATTAGGTTTCTCCGTGGTGCTTGGAGGATGAGGCCGGCGATCAAGGTCCAGGGTGCCTGCCTGGGATCTGGGCAATAGTTCTGGAAGGGTTGGTCCCTCGCTCCCTTCGAACCTTTAGAGTCGGCTTCGCCTAAGGACTTAACGTTGAAAATGGTCTTTCTCTTAGCGATTACCTCTCTTAAGAGGGTGGGAGATCTCCAGGCCCTGGCGGTAACGCCAGCTTGCTTGGAGTTTGCCCCTGGCAAAGTAAAGGCCTTTTTGCACCCGAGTCCGGGCTACGTGCCTAAAGTTCCTTCGAGTACGGCTCGCTCTGTAGTCCTTCAGGCATTCCATCCTCCACCTCATGTGTCGGCGGGGAGAAGAGAGGCTTCACTTGCTCTGCCCCGTCAGAGCTTTGAGTGTATACTTGGAAAAGTCTGCTTCTTGGAGAAGATCTGACCAGTTGTTAGTATGCTTTGGGTCACCTAAGAGGGGGCTCCCGGCGACCAAACAAACTATAAGTAACTGGATTGTCCAGGCTATTACTGAGGCTTACAAGGTGCGTGGGGTTCCTTCACCTTTGGCCTTAAGGGCTCACTCGACTAGAGGCATGGCTTCCCTCTAGGGCCCTTCTGTCGGGAGTACCTCTGCAGGAGATTTGTGAGGCAGCCGGCTGGGCTACCCCGCATACTTTCATCAGGTTTTACAGTCTCAGCCTTCCCAGTACGCCCGGTGCACACGTACTCGGCCCTTGCTGAGTGCCTAATCAGTTTCACTCTGGGGCGGGTCTGTTCGGTGCGTGGCCTAGTGGGTACTCGTTCCCCAAAGAGTCGATTTTATCGACGCAGTGTTGAGTTCCCTCGATAGGGAACGTCTCGGGTTATGACTATAACCCTTGTTCCCTGAGAAGGGAACGAGACACTGCGTCGTGTTGCCACGCCCCCTTTTCAGACCCTTGAGCGTCTTGCTTCATCGCGAGGCTAGTGTGTGTTGTGACAGCGTCACTTTTATACTTCCGGGTATGCCGTCACATGTTACGTCACGACGCAACACCAATCAGGATTGGATTAGTTTCATTCATACTTCAGAGGCGCACGCTTAGGGAGCGTCCCCAAAGAGTCGATTTTATCGACGCAGTGTCTCGTTCCCTTCTCAGGGAACAAGGGTTATAGTCATAACCCGAGACGTTCAGCCACTTGTTTTCATTGCCCAGGGACGAGCATGTGAAGAATCAGTGGTTAGAGTTCATATTTGCAACGATACCACAACAGTATAGCCCGAACTTTGTGTTATCATAATTTTAATGACGAATCATTCAAAAACATAAATTAATTCAAATGTGGATTCTCAAGCCAGTTGTTCCATAAGGAGGGCTCAGTATCCAGTGTATATGGATCAGGTTCGTCTTCCTCCGAATCACAATCTGCAAGTATTATTAATAATGTTTGCTGTTATGTTTTCTGTAGCATGCATAGTTATATTGTGTTGTGTGTGTTGTGAACATTCCACGCAGCTTCTAAGTGGGGTAAAGTTAGTTTTGTTTTTGATATTCACCAGACATTCATTGAAAAATGGCAAATACCTCCTAAACGAATTAGCCAAATATGACTTCGCTCAATATAATAAGCACTGTCCCTCAAAAGCCGCCGCAATGTGAGTTTCGCCGGGAAAGCTTGCTCTTGACGGAGAAGCGAGTAAGGGACCGTGTGGAAAGTGCACTTTTTCTGACACGTTTCATCAAACACTATATACAATTTTCAACACTTGACAAGCTATAATGCTGGTTATGGGCGTTCCATTGCCGACAATCGCTGCCTACGGTTTACCAATAACAACTGACTGGGTCATTTGACCAATCGCCGCAGATTTGCGTCACTCAAAGGAGGTGCTTGGGAAAATGAATCATTGAACGAATCATTTGGGAGTCGTTGAGCAAATCGGGTAAAAATAAATGCACATTATAAGACAAATAAATTGTTTTTTAACCTTGCATGCACGTTAAACTGTTTTTGGGAACTCCCAAAACAAAAATAGGAACATTTCAAATGCTATGATAGGGGCTCTTTAAACCAGACTGGGATAATGAACTACTGTGTTCTTAATGAAGAAAACCATGTTAATGGGTTTATTTTAAATGGCCAGATTGAGTCCAGAATCATCCTCACCTGTATATGTTGAACTGGTAGATGTTGTGGAAGTGTCCGGCTGTAAAGGAACTGAAACAATAATGCATGATAAATCAGACTAGTATGCTGAATTACTGTGTTTTTCAAGAAAACACTAATTATAAAGGAAGATCTTTTAAAAGTCACATTTAGCCCAGAAACATGCTTACCTTCAGTAGTGGGACTGGTAGATGTAGAGGAAGTGGCTGACAGTAAATGATCTGTAACATTAACAAGATGAAAAGAGATGCTAAGTCAGAATTAGATGATGTGCTGTGTTCTTATTAAGACATTATGGAAGGTTGCATTTCAATACAGTGCAGTCTAACATCATCCTCACCTGTAGAAGTAGAACTGCTAGAAGGTGTGGAAGTGACCGGCAGTAAAGAAACTGAAAAAAATAAACAGATGATAAAGCGTGATGAATTAATGTTTTTGTTTTTTTTCAAGAAGACACTAATTATGAAGGAGGATCTCTTGAAAGTCACTTTCAGCCCAGAAACATGCTCACCTTCAGTAGTGGGACTGGTAGATGTTGTAGAAGTGACTGAGAGTAAATGATCTGTAACATTAACCAGATGAAAAGAGATGCCATGTCAAATTTCATGAAGGCATTATTAATTATGGAGGGCATTTCAATATATACAGTCCAGTGTAACATCATCCTCACCTGCAGATGTAGAACTGGTAGATGTTGTAGAAGTGACCGGCTGAAAAGGAACTGAAACAATAACAGATTGAAACACATGTCTCCATCAGCTCATCCCCAGCTAACAGAATTGTGTTATAAGAACGTTCTCCAAATATTCCAACACAGTCTCATGAAAGTGCGTATCTATACCACGATTGTCATTTCTCGTGGCATTTATACGCCAAAATTGTTTTTTGCGTGCATATGCTACGCACTGAAAACCCCCTGAGTAGGTTTAGGGGGAGGGGGGGTGGGAAGTTCGTACTTATTATACGCCAAAAAGTGTGTATCATATGCACGCGAAAAACACGTACCATATACACACAAAAACTAGTTTTGGTGTATAAATGGGACGAGAAATGACATTTGTGCTATAGATACGAACTTTCACGAGATCGGGCTCAATATTCAGTGTTGGTTCTGTGAATGTGAAAAATGAACTAATGAGGAAAACCATATTGATGGATTTCTTTTAAAAGGCCAGATTGAGTCCTGAATCATCCTCACCTGTAGATGTTGAACTGGTAGATGTTGTAGAAGTGTCCGGCTGTAAAGAAACTGAAACAATAATGCATGATAAATCAGGCTAGTATGCTGAATTACTATGTTTTTCAATAAGACACTAATTATGCAGGAGGATCTTTTAAAGTCACATTTAGCCCAGAAACATGCTCACCTTCAGTAGTGGGACTGGTAGATGTAGAGGAAGTGACTGACAGTAAATGATCTGTAACAGTAACAAGATGAAAAGAGATGCTAAGTCAGAATTAGATGAAGTGCTGTGTTCTAGTTAAGAAATTATGGGTTGCAGAATGAGGGTTGCAGTTCAATACAGTCCAGTCTAACATCATCCTCACCTGTCGAAGTAGAACTGGTAGATGGTGTGGAAGTGACCGGTAGTAAAGAAACTGAAACAATAACCAGATGATAAAGCAGACTCAGATGATGAATTAATGTTTTTTTTTTTCAAGAAGACACTAATTATGCAGGAGGATCTTTTGAAAGTCACATTCAGCGCAGAAACATGCTCACCTTCAGTAGTGGGACTTGTAGATGTTGTGGAAGTGACTGATAGTAAATGATCTGTAACATTAACAAGATGAAAGGAGATCCCATGTCAAATTTAGATGAAGTGCTGAGTTCTTCATGAAGACATTAATTACATAGGGCATTTCAATATACACAGTCCAGTGTAACATCATCCTCACCCGTAGAAGCAGAACTGGTAGATGTTGTGGAAGTGACCGGCTGAAAAGTAACTGAAACAATAACAGATTGAAACACATGTTTTCATCAGCTCATCTTTATCTATAGACACACAAACACACCAGTTCAACTCTGTGGTCCACAATCATTCAGATAAAATGCAATTCAAAAGAGGAAACATCAGACTACATTACCAGCTGAGGTATTCTGTGGTGTGACTGTTGTCTCGGTGCTGCTGATGTTATTAACAGCTGAAAAAAATAATGACATATGAATACCAATGAATCAACAAACATTCAATTAAAATAGCTAATGTAGATATAATAAACAGTGAGTTATTACTAAATTACATTTATTGGATGCTTTCAGTGCTATTTTCTTCTCTTTAGATGCACCAGTTGAGATCTGCATTCTCATGGATTATTTTCTTGTGATTCTCAAAATGTATCATTCAGACTGGTGAATCCCCAAAGGCTGCATTTACACTGCAGGTCTTGATGCCCAAATCCGATTTTCTGACTATATCCGATTTTTTTGACGACCTGCTTACTTCATCTTTTAAAAGTGACCTATATCCGATTTTTGCATTTGAAATGTCTTCTGTAACAACCCTGCATTTTTGCCTGCACTCTTAACCCCAAACACTCAAAAGACCTCCGCATTGCTCCACTGTGTGTATCCTTTCTTCCATCGCGCCCATAATCGCACACTTTTTAATGACGCATGACTCGCATTTACTGGGGAATATCCGATTTGTCTGCTTACATGGCACACGCAAATGCACGTATCCGATTCATATCCGATTTATTACAACATATGAATGAGGCCTGAATCCGATCTGAGAAAATCGGAATCCATGCGTTTTTTTTCCTGCTTACACGTTCACCAGTCATATCCGATCTGTGGCACATGAGAGGAAAAAAAATCGGATTTGGGTCACTTGAACCATGCAATGTAAACAAGGCCAAAGTAACGCAATAACATGCAAGTAGCACTCCAGACTCTTAACTGAACTTTGCATTGATATAAAATTGAACAATCCGCCAAAGTAACGATAGAAGGTTTAAATTAATGATTGATGGTTCGTTCAGGTCATGTCTTATAAGTGTATAGAAACTTGAGATTTCACCATCTCACTCTTAAAACAATTTTTTTTCTCACTCTCTTTCTTTCTACAACTCGTATGAATGTGTGTGTGTGTGTGTGTGTGTGTGATTGTGTTAGATATTAGTTTTATGTGTTAGAATAATCAAAGTCTTGTTTATATTTCAAACAGAATTGTTCTTGTGTTGTTTGCTTACATATTTAATGTCTTAAACTGATGATCTAGGTTACCCTGCTAATAAATAGTGTTTCACTGTAGTTTGGATATTTATATCCGCTGCAGAGATTATAGTTACGGCCCTTTCAAATGAACGCTGGAGGAGTTATTTACTCGGCCGTATAAGTGATTCTGTTAAGATTCACTAACTTTAGCTCTTTTGTGGCAGTATAGCAGCTGCATGAGCGGGCGAGAGAACGGCTCACATCGTGACTGAGTCTCAGACCACTCCAAGAAAAGTGATCATCTGTACTGGAGAAAGTACATTCTTCTTGGCATTAAGCCATAACCCCAACCCTAAAATGCTAGGACGACATCTCGATGCCGAACTGCTAACTGTTCTGATTCCCCTAGAATCAACCAGTTTTTCATGCAATTCGGGGCCAGAGCTGCATCTATGCGCTTTGTGAATGTGTGGGGTGATATGGTTAGACCGAAAGGAAGTGCCTGAAACTGGTGTGCTTTGCCCCTGAAAGAAACCTTCAGGAACCTCCTGTGCTGAGGGAGGATGGAGATATGGAAGTATGCGTTTTTTAGATCTATTGTGACAAACCAGTCCTCGGATTTGATTTGAGTCACAATCTGTTTGAGTGTCAGTATCTTGAAATTGAGTTTTAGCACCGAACACTTCAACAGACGAAGATCTAGTATGTGGCGCAGTTCTCTATCTTTTTATGGAACAATGAGGTAACGACTGTAAAGACCGACGCTATGTCCAGTTTTCTTGATGTTAGAGGAACATGTTTTAAAATGTATAATGTTCCTCAAACGTTCTTTAAATGTAATTTTTCGATTAAAAATTCAACATGATACTAATGTTGATTTCCAAGAACATACAAATGTCCAGTTTCCTGAATGTTACTACACAGCAAAAACTCAAGAGTGTTAAGGACTCAATAGTGTTATAATTTTAACATTGCGTGTTAAATTAACACTGAAGAGTGTTAACGTTAATATGCAATTTAAGTTATTGATTGAGTGATGATTGAGCATTATTTACAAACAATTTTAGTCACCATTATGGGGATCAGTGTTTGTTTTAGTTGAGCAGTAGACAGTATAAGGAGTCGACAGAGCCATCTCACTGGAACTCAACTGAGACAAGTGAAGCCCATTTTTTAGGACTTCCGTTCCTAATGCGCAGACTCAAACTGACTCAAACAAAGCTTGACAATGTAGATGTGATGTGAGCAATCCGTCTGTCTTCTGGTGGCTGTGGCATGAGAAATCTGAATCATTCCCTTCCAAAACTTGCAGAGGTGGACAGTGTGAGAAGGAGCTGTTCATGAGCTAGGAGCAGGAGACACTTTTGCTAGGTATTCTGATTAATTATTTTGTCATTTGTCCTCCACGTTACCCAGATTGCCCGCAAGCTTCTCCTCCTGTCCATATGGTAATCTCTCTACTGTGCGACAGAGAGTTGCGTGGTTATGACACAATCGTTAGCCTACTTGCACAAAGACTGCTTCTACGGGGCCATAACATAAGCTACAAGAAAATGGAGCATTTTTATACATTGTCGTGTTTCTTCAGAAATAAATAATGGACAAATGGAGTCTTCAAAGGCCTCAGAAGTAAAGTTATTCGCTGTCAAAGTGACGCCCAAATGAATGGGAGTCAATGGAAATGCTATCGCAAGTGAAGTTCTGCTACAAGATGGCGGCACCCATCCAGCTTCAACTTCCGGTCGATGGATTACCCCCTTGGCAGTTGACCTTTACATGTTTAACTTTAGATTCCGGATGCTCTTTTATCACTTCCTGAATGTTAATTCCTTCAATTGGACAAGTTGACATAGTTGACGCATTCACACTGGGAGCGTTCCCAAAGCGTCATTGACTCATCGTGAGTTCCCACGAAAGGGAACTATATTAAACCAGACTGGGATAATGAACTAATGTGTTCTTCATGAGGAAAACCATATTGATGGATTTCTTTTAAACAGCCACACTGAGTCCAGAATCATCCTCACCTGTAGATGTTGAACTGGTAGTTGGTGTGGAAGTGTCCGGCTGTAAAGAAACTGAAACAATAACACATGATAAATCAGACTTGAATGCTGAATTACTGTGTTTTTTTTAAAAATACACCAATTATGAAGGAGGATCTCTTGAAAGTCACATTTAGCCCAGAAACATGCTCACCTTCAGTAGTGGGACTGGTAGATGTAGAGGAAGTGACTGACAGTAAATGATCTGTAACATTAACAAGATTAAAAGAGATGCTAAGTCAGAATCAGATTAAGTGCTGTGTTCTTATTAAGATATTATTATATTTCAATACAGTCCAGTCTAACTGGAAGTAGAACTGGTAGATGGTGAGGAAGTGACCAGCAAAGAAACTGAAACCATAAACAGTTTGAAACACACATTTTCATCAGCTCATCTTTATCTATAGACACACAAACACACCAGTTCAATTCAGTGGTCCACAATTATTCAGACAAAACACAATCCAAAAGAGGAAACATCAGACTACATTACCAGCTGAGGTATTCTGTGGTGTGACTGTTGTGTCAGTGCTGCTGATGTTATTAACAGCTGAAAAAAATAATGACATATGAATACCAATGAATCAACAAACATCCAATTAAATCTCTATATCTAATGTAGATATAATAAACAGTGAGTTATTACTAAATTACATTTATTGGATGCTTTCGGTGCCATTTTCTTCTCTTTAGATGCACCAGTTGAAATCTACATTGTCATGGATTATTTTCTTGTGATTCTCAAAATGTATTATTCAGACTGGTTTGAAATTCAAAAGAATAGAATTATGCAACTATTTACAGTGACAGAGTATTTACTATACAAATCTGAACTTCATGCGGCTTTAGAACAACATGTTTGTGTGAATTCTTTCTTTAAACACCTATCCTATTTTAACTTTCAGAACTTATATGACTTTATGTACACAAGGGGCGTTAATTTGACACTGGGGATTTTGCTGTGCATTCACCAGGCCAGAAAATAACCAAGGAGACACAGTGTGTTGCATTACCAGTTGAGTTGCTCGCTGATGTAACAGCTGGAGAGCTGTTGTAGATGCTGCCAGTGTCTGAAAGTTTGGATGAATAATGATTAATAAACAGAAACACAACAATCATGAATGTGTAGAAAGAACTCATGTAAAGATAATTACCTGCACAGTATGCTGAATTGCATAAAGTTGGACTAACCAGCTCATAGACATAATAATTGCCTGGACAGGCTTTGATTTTAATGGGAAAAGATCCAAAAATGCAGCAGTTATTGCTCCAGTGACTGCAAACATCTCGAGTGACGACTCCATCCTCAATTGTTGGGTGTCCACCACGTATCCACAGCGGGGCAGCAGTGCCACACCTGTATGTTGCAACACATGTGTCTGGGATCTGAACATTCAAGCCGTAATAGAACAGACGATACCAGCCGCTCCAGGAAACGGAGATGTCACACATGGAGGAGGTATATGTGTAACTGGTGGCTCTCCTTGGATCATCCAGCACAGTGTAGTTGTAGCAGGGGTCAACAGAGAGAACTGTAATGAAAACATTAAAAATAAAGAAAGAAGACAAAATGTGTTGCTGAAACTTGACAAAAAGTGTTGCATAATATTCACGTCCTTGGATTGAATATTATGCCTTTATGGGAACAGTATGAATGGGAAAGTGACTCTGAAGCAGTCCAATGGTACAAGTTGGAGCTCTCCAAAAAATCTGAGTTTACAAATTGTAATTATAAACACACAATAGAAAAACACAGAACACATCAAAGATATTCCCCTCAGTGAACAAAGTACACAAATTCATTGGAGGTTTATAATTGTTGTGTTTTAATTGACCTTGATTTCCCATAATGCTGTATATGTGTGCTTTCCCTGAACGTGCCTGAGTCACGAACAAACAGGCAAGCACTACAACCTAGAAGAAAGATAACTGGTCTATTGCATGAACTGCTGATTAACGGCTTGCTTAGAAAATAAGCTATTAGAAACACAATGTGTTACTTTACCCAGGGTTTCAGCGGGGTTGTCAAAGGTAGTAACTTAAATTATGCCAAATTAAGGCCAGTAAAAAGTAGTAAAAAGTAGTAAACGTCATCTGACGAGGTAGTAAATTTTCGAAGCCCCATCTAACTGGGTCTAAATGGTTTTCAATCAGGGTAATTTACGAGTGCAGGCCTATTTAAACTTTAAACTTACTAAACTTACATGAATTTATTTTGAGTCGGACGCAAAGACAGCAAAAAGAAAGGTCAGATGTGAGTGAACGGAATGACGTCACGCGATGTGTACATTGGGTGGTTCAAGCTGGTAACGTTACCTTAGCTTGGCGGTAAACCTGTGCTCCGCGTGAGTTTACCAAATAAATATGGGCAAGTGCAAGTTTTCGGACCTCTGGCTGGAGGACGCTCGGTTTAAAGACTGGCTTAGGCCAGTAGTTGGAAACAGTCGAGAAGGTTTTTGCTACGTTTGCAAGAAAACGATAAATATTACTTGGATGGGGGTGAAGGCAGTTAATTCCCACAGGGAGTCGACTAGCCACCAAGCCAGGATGCGCGTAAGACATAACACCCAGCTACCGCTGTCGCTGTTTTACACTGGACCAGCGGCTACATCGACTCCATCAACCTCCACTGCTCCCCCAACCTTGCCTGCTTGCTCCTCGCAGTCCACTGCCAGTAATCCTACCACCAGCATACAGTCGATCTGTACCACCACTGCTACGCTACAGGCTGAAGTACTATGGTGTTTAGACTTGGCAGTGAAACACCACTTGTTCAAGTCCAATGATGGCATAGGAGACCTGTTTAGCATGATGTTCCCGGACCATACGTACTTGCGTATAAAACATAAGTACGTATGGTCCGGCATGATTTATAGCTTCATCCAGTTGCTTCTTAAAATAGGGGGTGATGCCAAATTTGATCATGTAGCTGGTCTTGTCTTTGGCCAAAGTGAACGGTTGAAGCTATAAATCATGCCGGACCATACGTACTTATGTTTGATGAGAGTCTGAATGAATCGTCAAAGAAAAAACAAATGGACATACAGATTAGTTTTTTTGGAGGATGGCTGTGTCCGCTCGAGGTATTTTGGCTCACAATTTCTGGGACATGGAAGAGCTGAGGATCTGTTGCAGCACATCAAAGTAAGTTTATTTTTATATAGTTATTGGTTAGGGGCAGTAGCGGCTGTTACTAGTTTAACGTTACTATATTCTATATCAATAGCTTTTCAGAAGTGAAACTATTTTACTGATTAAAGGGTAGCTAAAACCTAAACCAATTTTTTTAGTTAATGATCTGTAAGAATAGGGCCTTATTAGTGCTGTTTATTGATTCGAGTAACTTTTTTGACATTTAAAACGTCTTAGTGCGGCCCTCTTCAGGTTCAACGGTGGCTACTGCAGTTGAATTCTCCACTCTCCATTTTAGAGAGTCTGACAGCAGGTCTCAGGTGCACACCCCCTCTATCTCTGCTGGGGTCTATCCACTTATCCTGCATTTTTCAAATATTGCCAGTGAAAAATATTGAATATTTTTCAAATATTGTGAATATCAGACTTTCCCTAAATTAACCTTTAATGTCATTTCCTTTTTTTGCCAGGGTGCTACTGTTTGGAGCAGGTCTTATTTTTGCTCTTGTGGGTTGAATCATGTTAAAGTTTGAAGCCATGTTGGTAGTAAGAATATTGTGATGGTAGTAAAATAGGTGTAAGAAGGTAGTAAATTCAATTTAAGAATCTCTGTATAAACTATGTTACCAGTTGCGATGGTCACTGGTGTGACAGTTGTAGAGCTGGTGTTAATGCTGCCAGTGTCTGAAAGTTTGGATGAATAATGATTAATCAACAGAAACACAAATATCATGAATGTGTAGAAAGAGCTCATGTGATTATAATTACCTGCACAGTATGTTGAACAGCAGTAAGTTGGTCTAACCAGCTCATAGACATAGTAATTGCCTGGACAGGCTTTGACTTTAATGGGAAAAGACCCGTAATAGCAGCAGTAATCGTTATAGTGACCGCAGACATCTCGAGTGACGACTCCATCCTCAACTGTTGGGTGTCCACCATGGATCCACAGTGGGACTTCAGTGCCACAGCTGTACTTCTCAACACACGTGTCTGGGATATGAGCGTTCAGGCCGTTAATGAAGAGACGATACCAGCCGCTCCAAATAACATTGGTGTCACACTTGTAGTAGTTGTTGCAGTTGTAGTTATAGTAGTAGTAGTTGTTGTAATAGGAGTAATATTGTCTGCTGTTGGCTCTCCATGGATCATCCAGCACAGTGTAGTGGTAGCAGGGGTCAGCAGAATGAAAATCTGTTGTGAAAACACGAGAATCTGTTGCTTTAATTATACATTTTCGAAAAAACAATTCTAGTTTTGTGTGGAAACTATTATTTCATTTCACAATCTAAAACTTTGTTTATTTAAAAGACATGCAATTGGAATTGCGATAATGAAACAGGGCAGGACTAGATTTTCTTGGATGGTTGTGGTTTGCAAATGGTGGATCTCATGTGAGTGCAGTGGTGGCTCGTTAGGGGAGTCAAGGGCAATTTTATATCTCAGAATGTGCATTTCTTGTTTGTAATTTCACAACTGTAAGTGTACACTGTAAGATATTTAATTTTAGTTTAACAAGATCGCCAGCTGCCTTGAAAATCGAAGTTCATTCAACTTGAATACTGCTTCTGTTTCAACTTAGAAATTAAAGTTAATGCCCAGTAAAATCCCTGGTGTTAAATGTAACACCGCTCTGTGTTTATAAGGGAACACTGATTGAGCTTTGAAGACACCTGATGTTAACAAGAAAAATCACTGAAGGAAAAGAAAAGAGAAACACAAGAACTAAAACTGACTTCCGAAGATTAAATAAACTGAAGAGAAAAGAAGACATTAAATTTGTGAAGATCTCAGCAGAGGAGGATTAAATAACTCCACAAACAGCATTACCAGCTTCACTTATTACCAATTACAATTGATATGTAGATGTTGATGTTTTATTGGAAATAATCTTTTTTAATATATATTGTTTACTATTATGTTGATCAGGGTTTCCTTTAGTTGGGCAGTTTGACTCTAGGGGCCCTATCTTGCACCCGGCGCAAATGACTTTATACACAAACGCATTTATCATTCCTATTTTGCACCCGCGCAAAGCGGGCTTTTCCTTCCACAGATGCACGTCAGTAAACTAGGAAATGAACTTGCGCTCCCTGGGCGGGTCGGCGCAAAAAAGGAGGCGTGTTTCGGCGTAAACATTCCTCAGTGCTATTTTGCAGTTCCAGAAAACAATTGAACACTGACCAGAAAAAAATTTGTCTAAAGTCAGTGGCGCGTTGCATGTACTTTCAGATGCTATTTTAAGCGTGCATGCTTGGCCAGGGTGAACAACGCGCATACACTGTAGATGATTCTCTCATCTACACAGATGCATTTTACTTTTTTCAAATGATACATTATTATAAGGAAAAATATATAAACACGAGGGAAATTATTGTTGTGTTCATGACAATGGGAAAAACAGAAGCTTACTCGTTTACCCAAATTATTATATGTATGTTTAACCGAAGCTAATTTGGGTGTGTTTGTCCCATCCCCAATGTCAATTCTATTTCTTTTACAGCCCTGACGAGAACATCGATCTCCTCGGCTGTGAACCGATTGTGAAGCGCGTCTGGTAAATGCACCTCCCATGCTGGGAGCCATGATTTTAATACTATGGTGGCTTCCATCATGTATTGCGGCATGAAGCATGTGACCATTGTTGAGATTCATATACTGAATCGTGATGTCTGTGTGTGTCAAAGTACTCCTATCCCCCCATAGTGTAATTTAAAATTCAGAATGTCTAGTCGGCTGCAAGAAAGTCTTACTGGTAAAATAGTAATTTAAAAAATAATTTATGGTCAGAAATAAAATTAGAAATTTATTTTAGTTTATGTGGCTGAAAACTTGATAATCTTGGTTTCTTTCTTAGCAACAACTTATTTATTTTTCAAAATACTGTTTCAAAGACCACAAATTCACACCAAAATCAAATTACCAACCAAAGGAAACGCTCATCACCAAAATGATGACCCAAATGATTGTCGATAATTTTTTTTTTTTTAAAAAAGACAAAAATGTTGAATAGGATCAATTAAAAAAAAAATTGTTTTTTTTTTACAGAATAGTTGCACCTCTCCAGAAAACAAATAATGTGAAATTGACTCAACTTTTTTTCATCAAAAACCTTAATTTCATTTCGACTGAAGAAAAAATGACATGGATATCTTGGATGACATGGGGGTGAGTAAATAATCACCAAAAGTTTTTTTTAAGTGAATTACTCCTTTAATTAATAAGATTTTTTTGCTGTTGCACTAGCTTACATTTTTTTTACAGTGTAAAATTCACTTTATAAAAGACCCACATTTAAAAATTTAATTTATGGAGATAACATGATTAATTTTAAATCCATGGTAAAATTTTTGCCCATATATCATTTTAGCCACTAGATGGCTATAGAGCTCCACTATATGCTATTTTGACTAACTGAAAGATATGAAGAGTTCAGATGCAAAAGCCTCTAAATACCATTTGAAATTTTCTTCTTTAATGATGATTTTTTTATCAAACTTGTATATTTAAGTTTAGTAATTTCACATAAATAACAATTAATAGGTAATTATCATTGCCATTTAAGTGAAATCACTGAACTTAATTATACAAGCTTGATAAAAATTATCATTCTAGAAGAAAATTTCAAATGGCACTTAGAGGCTTTTGCATCTGAACTCTTCATATATTTTCACAAGTTTTTCCAGTTGGATTCATATCTAAATATTATGAAATCACAATTAGAACCATAAAAATGACTTTTTTGTCAACATTTAGCATTTTTTGTGCTACATTAATGTTACATTATGATTAGAATCAAACCTGAAAAAGATAAAAGTTGAGTTTTTAGAGTTTTTAGAGTTTTTAATAATTTATATCAATCTTCTTTTTTATATAATTGTACAAATGTAATCTACACTTCAGTTACGAACTGTAACAGAACAGATATGTACAGTTATATATCGAATACAACTACATGACATGAACTTCAAAAATGCATGAACTGATATGAACAGCATAACAAATGAGCAAATAAAGCAGCAAATTTTGTTTGTTTATCTCTCTCTCTCTATCTGTGTGTGTGTGTGTGTGTGTGTGTGTGTGTGTGTGTGTGTGTGTGTGTGTGTGTGTGTGTGTGTGTGTGTGTGTGTGTGTGTGTGAGAGAGAGTGTTCACATTTGTCAGTGTCACTAAATTTATTTTTGTGGTGGTTCCCAGAATATGCTGAATCTGCGAAATGCCAGTCTGGGGAGATAGAGAAAGGGAGGGGGAAGCAAATCCATATCCGGTAAAAAAAAAATAATAAAAAGAGATTAGCCAATCACCATTGAGTATTTCACTTTAAGCGATTAAGATTGTTGAGAAAAGTAACACTGCTGAAGCAGTTGAAGTCAACAAGAAAATTAAGTGAAGATTAGCCATTAGTGGTGACACCTAATGTTAATAAGAACAATCATTGAAGGAGAGAGAAACAACAAGAACAGAAAAAAGAGAACCACAAGAACTCTGACTCTAAGCCATTACACATTATTGCAGTTATTATTTGTACACCGGTTTGGCTTTATTTCTGTTATACATCTACAAACAGTCTTATTTAGTTTTACAGAAGTCTAGATGGTGGTATGTTATGGAATGTTTAATTTCATGTCACCAATATGGTGATCAGTGTTTGCTTTAGTTGGGTTCTTCACTTTTTAATATTATTTGTTTATTGACCACTCCAACTTTGTGTTCAAAATGCACATTTGTTTTGGTAAGAGAAACTATGACCTGCCGTGCATTTTCCAAAAGCATTGTAAGCCTCAATTGATTGTAGATCATTCGTTGCAATTGTTCTGCGATCAAGTTATGTTTAAATTGCTTTTGGCAAATGAAGCCCAGTTCATTATGGTAATGTTTAAATCAAATCCAATCCTGTAGTGGCGGATTATTTGAATCAGTATTATAAACTCATTATACAAATGTATTATTCAGTTTCATAACAGTAGCTAATTCCAGTAATGTTTTAATAACCTTAAAATCACAAAAGGACATCAAGAATCTACATATGAATCTCAACAATGGTGACAATCACACAAATTATTTATGTTGCAGTGGATGATGGGAACCACCAACCAATAATTGATCTGTTTGTCACTAGTTTGTTTATTATCACCATTGGTGAGTTTCATATACTGATTTTTGATGTCTGTGTCCAAACGCAATAACTTATATGCTCAAACTACTATCAGAAATGTTCATTTTGCTGTTGGATCTCAAACTGTATAAATCAGGGCTACGATCACCAATGCTGAAATTAGACATCAGGCATATAGTAAAATATTTAAATAATCAATAAAGTAAATGTAACATAATGGCAACATACCAATTAGGATTTTTTCCTTCAGTGATTCTGCTTGTTAACATTAGGGTGTCTTCAATAATACTCAATTAATCACTTAATTATCTCATTAACTTTAACACTGCTTCAGTTTTCATTTAACACTCTCTGAGTGTGGACTCATATAAACACTGCAGTGTTAATTTAACACTGGCGATTTTGCGGTGCAGAGATCATCACAATCATCAGGCCAGAAAACAGGCCACAGTGTGTTACATTACCAGTTGAGATGGGTGCTGGTAAGACAGCTGTAGAGCTGGTGTTAATGCTGCTAACATCTGAAAGTATGGATGAATAATGATTAATGAACAGAGACACAAATATCATGAATGTGTAGAAAGAGCTTGTATGAACACAATTACCTGCACAGTATGCAAAATTGCAGGTTGTTGGTCTGACCAGCTCATAGACAAAATAATTTCCTGGACAGGCTTTGACTTTAATAGGAAAAGACCCGTAATAGCAGCAGTAATTGTCCCAGTGACCGCAGACATCTCGACTGACAACTCCATCCTCCACTTTTGGGTGTCCACCACGTATCCACAGCGGGACAGTAGTGCTACAGCGATACTTCTCAACACACGTGTCTGGGATTTGAACACTAAAGCCATAAAGGAAGAGACGGTACCAGCCGCTCCAGGAGACAGACTGGTCACACATGGGGATGTAAGATTGTCTATTGGTGGCTCTCCACGCATTATCCAGCACATTGTAGTTGAAGCAGGGGTCAACAGGATGAGAATCTGTTATGAAAAATAATGTATTTTGAAAGAAATGCATTGTTCTAAAAAATGATTATCTTTTATTAAGTATTCACAAAACATTCAAACTGGACTTTATATTATAGACAAATATGTCATCCTCTAATCTAATCTACAAACTATTCTAATGTAAAATGACAAATTTAACTTCAGAATCAGACTGGAAAATCCTAAATTTCAAAACCTGCTCAATTTGGGGTGTATTTGCTGCCTTTTGTCGCTAAGAGGCGCTACAATCACAGACTTTGAAAAGTGTCCGTTTATTCTCTCTATGAGTAATCTGCGGCTCATTCAGAGCGATTGAAAACTGGTAGCAGATTAATTCAAATGAAACTAAATTAATTAATAGTTAAATTACTTAATAATCACAATACGGAAATTAAATTGAATAAATAATGAAAACTTAAAACATTGCAGTAGAAATATATTAGGCTACATCAATGAGGCTTTACATCAACTAGTCGACTAGTTGACTGTCACAACCACTAGTTGGCGCTGTTGGCCTTAGTCGACTAGTCGGAAACAAAATGATGACATGTATATATATTTTTGGGGGGGCAAGACCATGGAGTGCTTTGAATGTGATAAGGAGGATCTTGTAGTTAATTCGAAAACGTACCGGTAGCCAATGAAGTCTGCGTAAAATAGGAGTGATGTGGGAAGATTTCTTTGTGTATGTAAGGACCCTAGCTGCGGAGTTCTGTATGTATTGGAGTTTATTCATAGAGGAGTCGGGTAAGCCATAGAAAAGAGAATTGCAGTAATCAAGCCGTGATGTGATGAAAGCATGAACCAAAGTTTCAGCATTGCTGATGTTCAGAAATGGACGCAAACGTGCGATATTACGAAGGTGAAAGAAGGCAGACTTAGTGAGAGAGGAAATGTGTGGAAGGAAGGAAAGAGAGGAATCAAAGATTATACCAAGTTTTTGACAGTAGTGGAAGGTTGAACCGAAACTCCAGCAATGTGAACAATGTTAACACAGAAACGGGGTGTGATTCGAGGTGAGCCAATAAGAAGTAGATCTGTTTTGTCCGTGTTGAGCTTGAGAAAATTACTGGTCATCCAGGCATTTAAATCATCAATACAGGCTGATATGGAATTTGTGGGAAAAGGAGAATTGCGTTGAGAATGAATGTATAGTTGGGTGTCATCAGCATAACAGTGGAATTTAAAGCCATGATGACGGATGATGTTACCTAATGGGAGCATGTAGATGATGAAGAGAAGAGGCCCAAGAACAGAACCCTGGGGAACACCGTGTGGGACAGAGACAGTAGTGGACTTAGCCTGGCGAATAGAGATGTAATGCTGTTTGCAGAGATGTTTGCAGAGAAATGCAGAGATGTTTATGAACATTCTGTGATGCGCGAGCAGCACCGGGGACAGTGTGTCTGTTCGTGTGTGTGTTAAGAGTGAGCGCTCGTGAGCGGGCATGTGACTTACACACATAAACTGATTTATACGAGGTTGAACTGGCCGTGTGACAAAGCGGGCAAAAGATGGACACGAACTCGAGCAATTTATCCATATATAAGGCGCTCCGGATTATGAGGCGCACTGTCGTTTTTTGAGAAAACTAAAGTCGCTTTTAGACCAGCACGCGACGTGTTTAATATAGACGCTTATTACACCAGATTTTCTCACAAATGTTTGCTTTCACTTTAGACATAGCCAATTCTGTTTATGTAAACATCGTGTGTATTTAACAGTATTAGCATAATAAGACTCGAAAGATAACTTAGTCCAGTATTCAGGCGCTGTTTGACAGGCTTCTAGTGCCTGTGAGCGTCGGGGGTAGGCTATGCCGTGCGCCCAGGCAAGCGCACGTTAGGAAAGTGCACGTTAGAACAGCGTGTGAATTCAATGTTTAACCGGCAAAGCTTATGAAAATAATGAACTTTTGTGAATTGCAGTGTCCCGTACCTAATCGTTAACGTGTGATGTGTAGGCTATGTCGCGTTGTATAGGTGAGACAGAGGCGCCAGAACTGAACTGATAGAATGAACTGTAACACAATACTAGGATAATTCTTCAAAAGCAGATCACAGGCGCGCGGGAAGCTGTTTCAGATGAGGGGGGCTGAGGGCTGGGTTGAAAAATATGACGCCATTATGACAAAACAAAAAAAAACATGAAATTTCTCTGTATACCTTACGTGTTGTAGCCAATAAAGTAAATATATTTAGTATCATATTTGTTTAATGTTTTTTTTTTATTTAATCAATGTTGATTATGAAAGTGAGCATGCAGCATGAGAAAGATGCATCATGAGAGATTTTAACCACTCACTCACATTACTATACATGCATATTATTTAGTGATGGGCTGCCCAATGCTAGCCTCAGGACGACGATGAATAGACAACAGAATACAGAAATAAATAAAGCTAAAATGCTTGGCGGCAGTAGGCCTATAAGGGATTTAAAACCATTTCTTACCTCTATTTAAAGTGCACCAAACATGGCCTTGCGTTCTGGTGTGTTTCTGATGAATCTCCGAACAAGAGAGATTCAAACGAGTGTCAGTTTACGGAAGCAACTGAGGAGGAGGCACGCGCAGGCGTAGTATATCAACGATTCACAAAATATTAAAATAATTAATCATTAGTTTATATCTTATTGTCACGGTGTGTGGTGGTGGGAGTGCAGGAGTGCAGGCAGAAGGAACAGGAGGAGTCCAGATACCACAAAAATACTTATTTAATCCGAGAATACAGGCAGGAAGACAGGGAAACACCGGGTAACATACAACATCGACCGACAAAGACAGAATGAAACTGAGGGAACTAAATAGACAGATGAATCAAACATAATGGAGTGGAAACAGGTGAAACAGATGATCAAAACGAGGAACAGGTGGCTGATGAGGGAGTGAGTTCAGGAGAGGAGACAAAAGGATTCTGGGAAGTGTAGTGCTGATGACAAGACAGACTGGTGCAGACGGATGACTGTGACATCACTCCCCCCTCCCGGTAGGCGTGACTTCACGCCGTAACATCAATGGGGAGGGGGGGTGGGCGCCCTGGAGGCTGTGGAGGGCGTGGACTGGAGGAGGAAGCCTCCAGGGCGGAGCAGGACGAGGGTGTGGCCAGGGCGGAGCAGGACGAGGGCGTGGCCAGGGCGGAGCAGGACGAGGGCGTGGCGGAGCCGGCTGAAGGCGTGGCCAGGGCGGAGCAGGCTGAGGGCGTGGCGGAGCAGGCTGAAGGCGTGGGCAGGGCGGAGCCGGCTGTGAGGACCCTTCGGGCGGCCATGGCGGTGAGGTCCCTTCGGGCGGCCATGGCGGTGAGGTCCCTTCGGGCGGCCATGGAGGTGATGGTCCCTTCGGGCGGCCACGGCGGTGAGGACCCTTCGGGCGGCCACGGCGGTGAGGTCCCTTCGGGCGGCCACGGCGGTGAGGTCCCTTCGGGCGGCTATGGCAGTGAGGTCCCTTCGGGCGGCCACGGCGGTGAGAGCCCTTCGGGCGGCCGTGGCTGGGACACTGGGCCCCCCCAAAAAAAATATTTGGGTTGAGTCCCCGGATGAAGGGCAAATGGGGAGTGGACGGTCTCGGGCTGGACGGTCTGGACGGTCTCTGGCTGGACGGTCTGGACAGTCTCTGGCTGGACGGTCTGGACCGTCTCTGGCTGGACGGTCTGGACAGTCTCGGGCTGGACGGTCTGGACGGGCGATGGCTGGACGGGCTGGACGGGCGATGGCTAGACTGCCTCGGGCGATGGCTGGACGGGGCTGGTTGGAACCAGCGGTGAGGGGAGCTCAGGTTCGGAAGGGCTGGACGGGACCAGCGATGAGGGGAGATCTGACTCGGGAGGGCTGGACGGAACAAGCGGGGGAGAGAGTTCAGGCTCGGAAGGGCTGGACGGAACCAGCGGGGCGGAGAGTTCATTCTCGGGAGGGCTGGACGGAACCAGCGGGGCGGAGAGTTTATGCTCGGGAGGGCTGGACGGAACCAGCGGGGCGGAGAGTTTATGCTCGGGAGGGCTGGACGGAACCAGTGGGGCGGAGAGTTCATACTCGGGAGGGCTGGACGGATCCAGCGGGGAAAGCTCGGGCTCGGCAGGGCTGACGTGGAGCGCAGGCTCGGCAGGGCTGACGGTGCGCACAGGCTCGGCAGGGCTGACGGTGAGCGCAGGCTTTCTGGGGACGAGAATCAAACGGGGGCGCCGAATCGGGAGTTCATGCTCGGGAGGACTGGACGGAACCAGCGGGGCGGAGAGTTTATGCTCCGGAGGGCTGGACGGAACCAGCGGGGGAAGCTCGGGCTCGGCAGGGCTGATGGTGGGCGCAGGCTCGGCAGGGCTGACGGTGAGCGCAGGCTCGGCAGGGCTGACGGTGAGCGCAGGCTTTCTGGGAACGAGAACCAAACGGGGGCGCCGAATCGGGTGGAGAATCCCCTGAAAACTCACGGCGTCCATGTTGCGTCTTGGTCGGTCGATCTGTCACGGCGTGTGGTGGTGGGAGTGCAGGAGTGCAGGCAGAAGGAACAGGAGGAGTCCAGATACCACAAAAATGCTTATTTAATCCGAGAAGGCAGGAAGACAGGGAAACACCGGGTAACATACAACATCGACCGACAAAGACAGAATGAAACTGAGGGAACTAAATAGACAGATGAATCAAACATAATGGAGTGAAAACAGGTGAAACAGATGATCAAAACGAGGAACAGGTGGCTGATGAGGGAGTGAGTTCAGGAGAGGAGACAAAAGGATTCTGGGAAGTGTAGTGCTGATGACAAGACAGACTGGTGCAGACGGATGACTGTGACACTTATACACTGCCCATTATTTTTTATCCCATATCAAACACCGTATCTTTTGTCTATTTTACATTTTTTTTCTCACGTTTTTAAGTATAATATTTATTATAGTCCAACCACCACAGCCCCTCACCAGGGGGGGCTGATGCTATGACGAGGGGGGCTGCAGCCCCCGCAGCACCCCCCTTCCCGCGACTATGGCAGATCGTGGAGATATTTACTATTCGTGATATCGCACACCCCTAGAATAAACCATTTAACAACTAGTCGACTAGTCGTCGACTGTTATGCAAAACTAGTCGACTAGCAAAAATCATCCATCCATCCATCTTCTTCCGCTCATCCGGGGCCGGGTCATGGGGGCAGCAGTCTAAGCAGAGATGCCGAGACTTCCCTCTCCCTAGACACTTCCTCCAGCTTTTCTGGGGGGACACCAAGGCGTTCCCAGGCCAGCCGGGAGACATAATCTCTACAGCGTGTCCTAGCGTCTGCTAAATGACTAAATGTAATGTAATGTATATCGAATGTCCATTTCCAAAAGAACAAACATAAAATAGCGTTTGAAAAGTATATTTCTGAAAATGAAAACATTACAAAACACACAACAAATCAAAAGTGATAGACATGCCCATAGTACACTGCCAAAATACCAACAAATGACACAATAAACATTACCAATTGTGGTCGTCTCTTGTGCGACAGATGTAACGGCCAAGTTAAGTGTTAAGACACCTTGAGAAAAAAAATATAAATAAATCAACAACATAAAAACAGCTTAATGTTTGAAACATGAATCAGTTGACATAACAAACACATAAAAATTGCCTTTGCAAGGCTTTCACAATGTTGACTCAGAAATGAATATTCTTTCATCATTTACTCATCCTCATGTCATCTCAAACCCAAGAACACAAAAAGAGATTTTTTTTTAAGATAACCCATCTTTTCCACATAATAAAAATGGGGATGAAGCTTAGTGCCCTAAATCTTCTGGAGCAACAGACAAAAATTGTATTACTCATAAATTACTTTCCTCCAATGATCTGAAATGAACCAGAAAAGTTGTGTGGTTGACTATAAAAATGCTACTTAAACTGCATTTAACAAACAAACAGCTGGTTCATGTGAGATCACTGAAGTATGGTTTGCAGTCCACACAACTTCTATCCAATTCAGAGCACCAGAAGAGGAAGATTAATTAGCAGGAAACAACTTACATTTTCAGTGTTTCTCACACAATGCACAATTGACATATAATTTGCAAGTCATGCACAGTAAATTCCCTGATGTTCAGAGGTGGAAAGTCCAGGGGTCAGACAGTAAAAGTACTGCCACATTTTGATTCCACCCACAGCAAAAACTCCAGGATCCAGACTCAAAAGTGTTAAAGTTAATGAGATAATTAAGGGAATAATTTAGTGATGATTGAGAATTATTGAAGACACCTTGATAACAAGCAGAATCACTGAAGGAGAACGTCACATTTTTAAGTCACCATTATGGTGATCAGTGTCTGCTTTAGTTGGACTCTTAGCCCTTAAATCATTAACTATAGATGTTGTTTGGCTGCTGTACATGAGTTATAACAGCCAGATGAACAACAAGGAAAGCTGATGAACAATAGCAGGGTTTGGTTATGTTTTGACATAATCATCATTTGTCACAAAACTCATTTGTAGAGTTTAAACTTTTGATTACACAGTATACACTTTCATAAGTGTAAATATAATCCAAAAGATCTCTTAAAAGCTGTTCTATTCTAAATACTGTATGGGCACACACAGACATCAAGAATCAGCCTGTGATTCTCAACAATGGTGACAATTATATAGCATGTTGCAGTGCATTCTGGGTGCCACCAATCAAAATTCATTCATGGCTCCTATTATGCATTGCTGCATGAATAAATTATGATCTGAATTGTCTTAATTTCCTTTCCCTAGTTGAATATTCTGTTTGTCACAATTGTTGAGATTCATACACTGTATCTTGATGTCTGAGTGTGCCTAAAAGAAAGATTTTTATTTATCAGAACAACGTTTAAGATATCATTTGGTTTATTTTGAAAAATCTGGATCTAATGTTATAGAATCACTGTGATGCTTTTATGATCATTATACTTTTAATTCAGAGAGTAGGCTTTAAACAAGTTTGGTGATTCAGGTCAAATGATGATTATGTCTAAACGTGATCTAGAACATCTGATCTGATCTGATCTCTTTGTTCATCCAGCTTTTAAACTGCCAAACAAAATATTTAGTTAAACATTTAAAGATAACCTACCCAACTAAAGCAAACACCATAACGGTGACTAAAATATAGTTTTTCTCCTTTAGTGATTCTGCTAGTTAACATCTGGTGTCTTCAATAATATCTCAATCATCACTCAATTATTAACTTAATTATCTCATTAACTTTACATTCTTGAGTCTGGATAAAAATAAACTCCCAGTTAAGTTCATTTAACGCTGGAGTTTTTGCTGTGGGTGGAATAAAAATATGGCAGGACTTTTACTTTCTGACCCCTGGACTTTCCACCTCTGCTGATGTTAAATTTAACACCGCTCTGTGTTTATATGGGAACCACCTGCTGGGTGTTAAAAGAAACACTGAAGCAGTGTTAGAGTTAATGAGATAATTAACTGATAAATTGAGTGATGATTGAGCATTGAAGACAACAAATGATGTTGATGTTTTATTGGAAATAATAGTGATTATGGTGATCAGTGTGTATTTTAATTGGGCAGTTTGACTCTTGATGTTTTTATGCAAGCCAGTGTTTAACAAAACATACATATATATATACCTTGTTAAAATTTTTTATGCAAAACCCAGATACACTAAAGCATGCACTGAAGAAAAGAGGAACAAAAGAACTACAACTCTGTTCCAGACACAGCATTTGATGAAATTAACTGAAAGGACATGAAATCTCTCTTTTTACAAATGAGTTTGACCTTATTTCTGTCATTCATCTACAGAAGATGTTTTTGAGAATTAAAAGAGATTTAGATGTTGATGTTTTATTGAAAAAGGTTGGTGTGTCACTTAGTTGGGAGGTTTGACTCTTTATAGTGATTTATGTCAGTTTTTTTCTCTTTGTGACAGTTTTCAATTAAACAAATATTTTTTTGCAAAGGAAACTGTTAGTTTATATATATATATATATATATATACACACACACACACACACACACACACAAAGGAAGCCCGAAAAAAAATTATCAGTGGATCAGTAAAATAATAACTATTTTCAACATTTATCAAAAATGATTTTCACCAATGACAGCTTCATGCACCTATCAGACATTCTGATTTGTGATTTTATATATACATTGTGGGGAAAAATATCTTTGACACACACAACAAGAATTAGCATATGAGTTTTAACAATGGTGACATGCTTCATACATCAATGAATGCTGGGACCCACCATACAGTAAAACGAAAGGCTCCCAGCCTGAATTACAGCATGTCACCATTGTTGAGATTTATAAGATGATTATTGATGTTAGTGTGTGTGTGTTTGTACATTTTATTTTCTCTTTATTTAGAAATTAAAATTCAGAATCTCTGGCAATAAAAACGTTGATGATAAAAATCAGTTAATAATAAGAAACCTTTTTTTGAGCAGTGATGACATTGGTCAAAGTTTTTTTTCTTTATGATGACATATATATATATATATATATATATATATATATATATATATATATATATATATAAACTAACATCTTTGTTTAAAGTTTCCTTTGCAAAAAAATATTTGTTTAATTGAAAACTGTCACAAAGAGAAAAAAACTAACATAAATCACTATAAAGAGTCAAACCACCTCCCAACTAAGCGACACACCAACCTTTTTCAATAAAAAACAACATCTAAATCTCTTTTAATTCTCAAAAACATCTTCTGTAGATGAATGACAGAAATAAGGTCAAACTCATTTGTAAAAAGAGAGATTTCATGTCTTTTCAGTTAATTTCATCAAATGCTGTGTCTGGAACAGAGTTGTAGTTCTTTTGTTTCTCTTTTCTTCAGTGCATGCTTTAATGTATCTGGGTTTTGCATAAAGAATTTAAACAAGGTAAAATGTTTTAAAGAGAGCTAAGAGCATGAACAGATTTTGGAAAATATTTTAATAAAACATGGGCCCGTTTGTGTTATATTCATTACAACAGAAAAAAGCAACAAGCAAAAAAAAAAAAAACAAAAAAAAAAACACTGCTTACTTACAGAACATTACAGAGATGGTAGCTGCTGTTCTTGTAAAACCTGTCACAAAATACAATTTCCTGGAGTGTTATTTTGAGCTTGGGATAACTCCATTTATCATCTGACAGCAGTTCATGTTATAAAAGTTTTGGGGGCAATAGGAACTAAAGACAAGAAAAATACTTACTTTTAGTTTTATGAAAGGTGGAAACCATTTGACAATCCGGTGTATTTCTGTTTATCCACAAACCAGTTCAGAGGAAGAGATTCCTTTGCAGTTAGAGAATAAACTAATTAGCCATTGCATTGACGTGACTTTTTTTTTTTTTTTTTTTTAAAAAAGCTTTTTTTGTTGCTTTTTATTTCAAACACACATGAAAAACATTTCACATTTACAAGAGTTAAAGGAGTAGTTCACTTTAAAATAAATGATACCAGATGATGAATAAGGGTCTTATCTAGCGAAATGATCAGTCATTTCAAAAATAAATAAGAAAATAAAAAATACAAAAATAAAAAAACTTTAAGTTTTGTAAGCACAAATGCTCGCCTTCTCCTGTTCTGTGATGTGCGTTCATGACTCTCCAGTTCGAACTCGTTCGTCAAAAGTAACAAATATTTTTTCGAGTCATTTCATTCGTTGAATGAACCAAAGATTCTATATAGAAAAAAAAATATATGGATTAAAATGATCTTACCTGATATAAGCTGATACACAGTGATCCTCACCCAACACAACTGAAGGAAATATGTGTGTGTGTGTGTGTGTGTGTGTGTGTGTTGTGGTGTTCATAGAGGTTATCTGTTTATCAATGAGGAAATATGAGCACAACTACACTTTGTCCTTCTCAAATTCAAATTACATTTTTTCACAAAAACAGTCACACATCCATTTCCTTGTCAGTAAGCTGGGGATCAATAGTCTGTTTGAGGAACAGAAAAAGGGAAAAGATGAAAAAATGAAAGGAAAGGGAAAAGATAAATCCACCTTTGACCCATTTGTTTGATTTTTGGTAGATTGGTATTTATATTTTATAGAAAATTGCCATTTTATTTGTTTCATAGGTAAATCACTGACGTGAACGACATTGGTTCGAATCCCACCTTATAAGGTTGAAATCACCCAATATCTTTTCTAATCTTTTCTTAATGAATGAACATATATTTGTAAATTTCATGTGCTTTTATGCCTTAACACTTATTTTATAAAAATGTATTTCTCATTCTATGGATACATGTTTATATTTATTTATTACCCATATGAAAATGGAGTTCCATGAAATGTACTATATTAGATATATAGGCCTATAATAATAATAATAATATTAATAATAATAATAGTTAAGCTGCGTTTTTGCAAAATCTGTGTTTTGAATGATTAATGATGATTTATTAAATAATGACGATTGATAAGCAGAATGATTAATGATAAAAATTTATTACTATATTCATATTTGTATGTATGTATTTTACATATTTGTTTGAGAAAAAATACCCAATTCATTAACACAATCTAATTTAAACATGAAATAAATTAGAATTGAAAAAAACTGCAACAATGTAATTGTCTTCTCTGAGTGAATGTTGGCTGCTGTTTAAATATATTAAACAATTATTACAAAATATTCATCTTAATTACCTCTTTCTCTCTTACACACAATAAGCATGGCACATATAAAAAAAGAATTGAATAATTAAATATAAAATACTAATATAAAATAAATAAATAAACCAAATAAAAAAGTAATAAAGGTAGAAGATTCTGATCAACTGGTTAAAAAATATATATAAGACAAAATCAGGCTCACACCAAAAACTGAAATATACAGTGTTTTTTTTCTGTTATGTTAATTATTTTTGAAATGCCAAACCAGACCTATGTGGGATGAATATTAAACAGTTTATTTCTTATCTGCCCTCTTCCTCCGCATCTCCTCCATCCACTGGTCAAGTGAAATACCAGCATTTTGGGGAAAGTATATGTTCCCATAATACTGGCTGAGGCCACTTTCTTTGTTGCGGGGCTGTTGGCACTGACTGCATTTATTTTTGTCAACTCTCCGATTCCAAGTCCTTCGGGGCAGGTGGTGGGGAGGAAAGCGGGCAAGCAGGAGTAATGCGATTGGATGCTTAGGCTTGTGGGGTTAAAAATACAAACACCAAGAGGGTTACTGGCAGGGCTGGGGCTAAAGACAAAGGGACAGTGTTTGATGCAGGTGGAGATGCATGCTGAGGGAACAACTGGCTCTGTGCTGGCAACCTTGGCCAGACAGACTGGAGAGAATCTGTCTGTTGGGCTGGAGCTGCAGACTTCCTCTTGACCACTGCTTGTCCTGCTGTACTTTGAGGCAATTCGTAATGATGTTGAGGGCCATGCTGTGATGGTGCAGCAGTGGGGAGTACCTGTACTGGTGGGAGAGGTATACGGGAGCAACAGGAATGGAGGCAGGCAAATTGACCACTTGCAGTAGAATATTACTAGCCTGGATGCCAGCCCGAACTCCGCCCACAACATTTTTTTGGTCGGGAAGTTCAGTCTGGACTCGATCCATTGAGGAGTAATTATAATCAGGCAAAAAATGTTCGGGCCAATCAAATTGCCAGGACGGGCTTTATATGATGATGGACAGATGATCTTTAGGGACGTAATCATCACGTTAACAAAGAGCGCTGGTTTCCCTCAAAGATGACTGCAGCTGGAGAATTGAGATGTATAGATTCCGCTGTCGCGTCTGTTGTGAAATAAATCGAGAGCGCATTCATTTTAATAGACAAACAGATAACTGCAATCAAGGCATTTGTCGATCAAAAAGATATTTTTGCCGTCCTTCCTACATGATTCGGCAAAATCTTCAGCTGGTAACTTATCAGCTGGCTCTGACGGTCGCTAAGAAGATGGGACGTAATGAAAAGCCTGTGGTCGTTGTGGTTTCTCCTTTGGTCGCACTCATGGAGGACCAAGTAAAAGAAGCAACACTCGTTATTTAACTTCTAAAATAACTAAGTTCTGTAGTTGACAACTGTATGCAAAGTAGTTGACTTCCTACGTTGCTCTGATTGGTTGTAGGTCTACTGATTATCCAATTGAGTGCAGAGTTTTTTTTTTCCTGGTTCGGTTAAGACACGCCTACGGTGTCCTTGATACAGAGTAATTACTTAGTTAATTACTTTGTAATAAAAACTGTAATTACATGTACAAAAATGTAATTACCATATAACTAAGTTATGGTACAGCCTGTACTTACAGATTGTAATTACACAAATATAGGCAGCTACTGTTACACATGTGTAACAAGGCGAGTCTGTTACATACGTGTTACAAACTTGGTACACTGTCACTATGTAAGAAAGTACTTACTGTAGTACCACACAATGTAACAAGAAGTATTTGACTATATTAGGCTACTAAGGTCTGCAGTTACACATGGCAAATGTGTACGTTTTGTAGCATTACATGTGTGTAACATAAAATAAAGTGTATCAAGATTGTACTTGAGTGCAATTCATGTGTATCTACATACCTTCTCCATCTTAAAGGGTACATATCATGCTTTTAAATCATTCATTTTTACATATAAATCATACCGTTGTGGTCTATATAAAACATAACTGCGATGCTTGGGTCTGAATTCCTCATAATTATAGCTCCACAAGCCCCTTTTCTACCCCTTTTCTGATGTGCGTCTTTGAGCGACCCGTTTCAATGCGTCCCCTTTAAATAAAAAGGAGATGCGTCATACCCCGCCCGCTCTCCAGGTCGATGAGTTCACGGTCAGTTCAACTCCCCACGTTCGGCCATTATTGTAGTTTGATTAGAGATATACGATTATATACGATACCTTCAAAGAACATTTTTATTCACACGTTAATAAAATGTCAACAACAGAAGACTTGTCCATCAAGCCTTACATATTCGAGCCAGAGCGAGTGAGTTGATAAAGATGACGATGAACCTGCAGGACAACCACTTCTTTATATGGATATATTGGTATGTGAGTTAACTGTTTTGTGTTATTAGTGAAAGTCGACTATTTCTCTTGTTAAAACAAGCACACTGACAAGATAAATGACTACGGTCTAATCTTACCACAAAAAAATCTGTATTGACAATATGATACGTTTAGAAAAGCATCAGAAAACAACGCAGCTAACGTAAATGAAAATTGATGAAACTCAAGAACAATAATACTGCAGACGTGTAACGTTACTTCAAAACAAAAACAAAGAAAGACAAAGCTAAACCATGACCACCATGTGTTTTAAGAAAGTAAAGTACTTTATTTTTATTAACGATATTTACAGCTTATCGAAATGCTCTGTTCGTCATCTCCAAAGATAGAAGGAATTTACCTCTCATTCAGACGAAGTCAATCGGCAAACCCTTCTTTATATTGGCGGAGGTTGTTGAAGTGGGAATCCTTGAAGTGCTTCAGGTCACTAACGTACATCCAACAACCGAACATTTTGACTTACCCTGTCGTAACTTCTACATCATTGAGCTCGGACTACAAAATCGGAGCGAGAAATAATAATGGCGGATTGCTCGAAGTGTTGGACCGGTTGTCAATGTCCTTATTTGGCAGTTCCGCTGCAAATACGGTGACGCACTTGATCACGGGCATTCAGTATGGTTTTCCGGCCTTTACCCTTATGCACAGAGATTGTTCCAGATTCTCTGAATCTTTGGATGATATTATGCACTGTTGATGATGATAACTTCAAACTCTTTGCAATTTTTCTCTGAGAAACTCCTTTCTGATATTGCTCCACTATTTTTTGCCTCAGCATTGGGGGAATTGGTGATCCTCTGCCCATCTTGACTTCTGAGAGACACTGCCACTCTGAGAGGCTCTTTTTATACCCAATCATGTTGCCAATTGACATAATAAGTTGCAAATTGGTCCTCCAGAAGTTCCTTATATGTACATCTAACTTTTCTGGCCTCTTATTGCTACCTGTCCCAACTTTTTTGGAATTTGTAGCTCTCATGAAATCCAAAAGGAGCCAATATTTGGCATGGCAATTCAAAATGTCTCACTTTCAACATTTGATATGTCATTTATATTGTATTCTAAATATAATATTGAAATTGGAAACTTCCACATCATTGCATTCTGTTTTTATTCACAATTTGTACAGTGTCCCAACTTTTATGGAATTGGGTTGTACATTCCATATAGTGCAAATAGAGCAGTACAAATGGAACAGATTATTCAGTTTACATTACTCTGATACTAATCTGTTATTAAAGGGATACTCCACTTTTCTGCTGAACAGAAAGGAAGATGTTTAGAAGAATGTCAGTAAACAGGCAGTCTCTGGTCTCATTAGCCCCATTCACACAGAGAGTTGATCCCAGAAAATTGCAGGGAAATTGCCAGAACGCCTTCTGTGTGAACGCAAACACGACCTGGCATTGATTCTGGGATTGATCCCGTGTTGGGGACCTAGTAACATTGCCGTAATCAGTCCCGGAAGCCGCGCTGTGTGAACAAAAACCAGGACCAATGCCGTAAGGGGCGTGTCGTAGTGACGACGCACGTGCCAATACAGTGACGTATTTATAGTGCGACTGCGACTCTGTTGCTTTAGTTTCAAGAAGAAAGTTTGTGCTCGTCATCGATACAAGAAAGGTCGAAAAAATGTCTTCGAACTGGAATGAAGCTGAGACCCGTGAGCTCCTTTCTATTTGCGCTGAAGCTGAGATCGTCTGCCAGCTTTGTGGAACTGTACGCGATGCGTTGGTGTACGATAGAATCCGGAAAA